GCGTGACTAACGGTAAAGGTATGTAGTCAGAAAAAATAGAAATACACTGTCTACAGAAAACAATGTAACCTTAAATTATACTGACAGAATACATCGTAATATTGCCATATACATACAGTAGTGGTAAGCTAATTACAACAAGAAGTCGGTAAAAAATGTGATCAGGGACCACGTGCGAAACTAGAGTATAGTTTTAACGTTATCGCGTGGGCAAGTAACATCGAACGGTACAAAAAAGGTGCGAAAATGAGGTTTAAATTTTACAGTGATGACATATAATTGCTAAAAGTTAGTTTTTCTTAGGGATTAGGCACAAGTAACAGATATCAGACCCAATCTATTAATAATTGTAACTTAGCCTTGGTTTAACTAGGGCGGCCTCTCTCCTGCTGCGCAATCTGTCACTTCTGAACAATGAATACTTTTCACTGGGGATATATGTCACAAATATCAGAAGTGCATCGAGCTTCTGTTATCGCCTTGACTGGTGTATTTAATACCAGTGATAAACGTCCCACTATTTCACGCATAAAAAAGGTGGTAATGAAACAAGAGGAGAACATCCTGTGAGCACAAAATCATTTGCGCACACCTGAGAAAAGTTCGGGCGTTTCGGAGTGTTAGATCTGAGATTTTACGTCCTTGTTGAGCCTGCTACGTGTACTTTACTGGAGGTGACACGAAGATCCACAGCATCACAGCCTAAGCGGAGTGACAATAAGATGACAGCCATATAACATGATGTTAGGTGTTCACAGAAATGTGATTAGCAAACGTGCGATTAGTAGATATTTCGTGAACACCGAAGCTGGCAGCATCCCACTTTTGGTTGCAAGCATAAAGTGAATAGATGGACTCTGATCACAAGGTTCACCTGGGCCACACAGATTTTTCGGTGTACCTGTGTTGTTGTTCTTGTAGCGCGTCATGGTCAACATCACATCTAACAGATCCATCGTGCTAAGATTTGGTGATTCTTGCTTTAGGCTATCATGTAACCCGCAATTTCCAGAAATCTGGTAGAGTAAGGTCTGTAGGGGTGTCTCAATTCTTGGACGTACAAAGCAGTTTTCCGCAAAGAAAACATGTCAACCCATCTCCTGAGGTCGGTGTAGCCACAGCTTGTGAGGGAGGGAGTTTGATGCTCCGGGAACGTACAAATACAGGTAGGGCAGAATGCTCATCCCCTGAAGAACCACTCAACCAGCTTTTCTAGGCCACCAATCGCTACTGGACAGGTGACACGGAGTAGCCCTAAAGTGCCACATACTAGTCTTACACCCGGTGAGGACCGCACTACGCCTGAATGGAGGAAGTGGCGTATCAGGCTCAGGAATAAGGTGGCCACAAGTAGTTTGCAGTTAGTGGCACTATCTCCAGACCAAAAAGGTTGCACCGTGACATCTGATGGCCGCATTGCTTTCACCAAAGTCGTACCGGTAGCCGGTGAGGTATTCGCACGCGACTTATGTCACCGATGAACACAGTCCCGCTGTGACAGCAAGGCACCCCGACATTACTGCAGATTGATGAAGAGGCGACGATGCGAATGGTTCTGAGACATTCGTCCAGAGTACAGGAAGCTCCCTGCTGTCCGTACGGGGGGTCCAAAAGAGATGCCCTCCGCCACCAACATCCCCGAACAAAATGGAGTCAACATCAAAGGCTAACGCGAGGGGACTTGGAAACAAAGCCGGGTCTTCAGCTGTGTATGCACCATCATCTACGGAGACCGCATTTGGTCGAATTCCCGGATCCCCTACCCGGCCGCAGAAAACGTAAACCATATGGAAAAAGGTGCCGTCCGCTGGACTCTACGAAACCCAACCCAAACATCCAAGATGCTGTGACTGAGAAAAAACTAGTAGAGACAAATAACAAACCCACTGGAAGTCAGGCGTGTCACCCATGACGACTGCAAGAGACAGAAGGGCCAACTCAATCGTCTTTTTCAGCGTCGCCAGACTACTTGCCACCCAATCCGACCCATATGCCTCCCTTACATATGTGAAAGACGGTATGGGTGGCTCATTATGCATCTGTGAGAATAAGCCAGGACCCACCTGCTGACAGAGAAACGGCAGCCGTCAGGATCGCTAGGGTCAGCGTTTGGCATATAAGGACTGTCCAGTGACTAAGGTGCATCGAGTACTGAAGCTTCTGCTGCCACAGTCACAGCGCAAGTCGAAAGTAACCCATAAGAACGGAGCGATGCTAGTCCTATGAAGACTGCAAGACCCAGCTACGTAGGTGCCCCTCGTCGCGAAAATACACAACTAGGCCTTCCCTGTCACCAGGAACGCCCCAACATGTGTGTGTGGCAACGTTAGGGGACTAAGAAGGAGAGTAGTAGAGATGAGGATGCTGTGCGAACGCTTGCACCCTGTCATCATACTTATCCCCGAAACATGGTCCTTGCTCGGCGTCTCCGACGAAGAGATTCATTTCACTGGCATTGAACTCTTCCATGGAAACAGAGAGCTCACAGCCGAACGGGGAATGGCTCTCCAGATAAGCTGTCTTTTGAAGGTAAGAGCTGTCAGAAACTCGGCTGTAATCCAGCGCCATCGTATCAAATACCTGCCCGAGGTCATATATTGGTCCTCCACTAGTTCCCCTACACAGGAAGATGGTCGTCGAGGCTATCATGGCGACTTTCCCTGCAGATGATGACTCCGTAGTCATTGCCGGTGACGTCAGCGCCCCATCTATCTCCAAGGAGATGGAAAAGGGATACACCAGATACTTCGGTCAGAAGCCGAGTCATACAATTAAGACTGCAGGTCTCTCAGAGAAGGCGGGCGATGCCACACGCTGGGAACCCTCGAGAAATCCTTCGCGCCTTGGCTACTTTCTGATGAACGACGACCTTCTCACTGAAGACATATGTATCCAACCTCTTCTTGGCCTCAGTGACCACAGAGTTATAACTTTTTCCGTGATTACTAGAGATGCCCTCCAACAAAAGACGCCCGACAACTTCCGTTGCTACAGCAACGCCAACTACGGGGTCATAAGAGGTTACCTCACGAGTGTATCATGGACCGTAGACTAGGCTCATCTCGCAATAGATGAACACTGGATCCAGTCGAAGAAAATAATAATTGAGGCCATTAACCACAGTGTGTCAGAGGTGAAACATACCGTCGGTGAAAATCTCATGGCTAAAGCACAGGGAAGTGAGACTACTCAGGACCAAGAAGCAGGCTTGGTCCAGGTAACATTCATCACGCAGGGAGTCCGACTTTCTGAACTACAAAAGAATCCCCAACCGCTGCAACATAAGAGCGCGTCGCGACGGGCTTACCCAAAAACCTGAGCCGCTTCATGTCAAAGGGGAAGTCAATCAATAAGAGAGTGGATCTTATCACAGGTCCTGAATGGAGTGTACTAAGCAATCTAGAGCTGAGTTTCCAAGCACGTACTCCCAAGCCTAACTTAGCACGAATTGCAGCACTTTTCAATGAGATTATGCGCATCAATGACTTGATATGTGAATTATTTAATACTAAATACTACCTTGTAGACTTTCAAGAATTAGCTGCTTGACGATGCCTGTAAACCGGTATCTCTTACGTTAAATCTATTACATGAGGATAAGAACCGTTATCATCTAAAATTAAACAATCCGTACACGCTGACTGGTGATATTTTCTTGTTCGTTTCATAACCAGCGGGATCTTCTGATGTTTTTAGTAGAGTTTACTGACATACCCTCTGAACCATTCAGGACTCGTAAAATCTTCTTTGTTTTTCAACATATGTATCTGTGTGATAATACCTGTAAACAGGCTTCTCCCACGTTAAATTACTAGTGTGAGAATAAAACGGCTATGTCCATGAGATAATTCCAGCCGGTATAAATGAACCCCTTCTAGGAATTGTCCTAGTGCCTTCAGTAATCACCGGTTGGACGCCAGGCGTTGCTATCCTCTTTAGGAACCATATGCAGTGGTGATGGTCAGTGGCTACTTGAAGATTTGATAATGCCCATTTCGAATTCGGGTTTGCGTAAACCCAAGTTGAGGTAGGCATACCGTCTCCTAAATGCTTCGATCGCCCTGCCGTTAGCTGCTTTTTATACCTGTGACGTGAAGCAAACGGTTGTTCCCGCCGGCTATGGTTGCGCGGACGCGTGCCGGAGTGGCGTGGGAAGGAGTTGTACATGGACAGATAAGGGTCATCAAAGTGAAAACGATATACGAGCAAACGAATGGAGCGAGCTCACCAACTTAAGAATTTATTCTTGCTTGGGATTCGTTATCACGTTGGGCTCACCAATTTACGAATTGCCCTTGTGCAAACTCCACAGACGCAGAAGCCAATCACTAATTATTCGAATTTGTTATGTCCCCACGAGTACGAGACCAAGAAAGAACACAGTGGCGTAGTCGAGTGGAATGGTATATTTGCGTGGTAGCGCCAAGACACCGATGCGTTCCATCTAACGACGGCGTGCCAAACAGCGATGATGCTTGACTGGGTGCCTTCAGTTTATAGAGTCCAGTTAAACCATGAAGGTCAGCATCAATACTGAATCTCGCCGAACCCTAGGCTATTGATTCTGGAGAAGTGTGTGACGCTACACTATCACTCACTGTCTCCCTCCCTAAAGCACCTACATTATTTTCCAACCCCTTCAAAAACTAAGCCTAATCTATCGACTTTTACCTTTCAGGTGATTCCTATATACTTTTTCTCATCATCTTACCTTTCGTCTCCAGGCACCTACACAGTCAGGAGTCACGACAGACCCCTAATCTTCCAGCAAATCATAGCTGCTCAATCACTCTACAAACTGCAACTTACTAACCCACAAAACATCCACCTTATCAAAGCTAAAAGGAAAAAAGCAGAAGAGATTTCTTTGTCCACTAGAGGAGCAAACCGAACAACTCAGACCAGGACGTAAAAACTAGACGCGAGGGATCAAAATATATCAGTTTCTTATTCATGCACCATCAATATTGAATAATATTTGGTATTGGACATACGACATCGGAATCCTTAGGTGATAATCAAATACTCTATGAAAAGCGCTGAGTTAGTAAGACATCCTATAATACCGTGTATTTATGGGAAGTGTGTATGTGGTGGCTTACATCATCCTGCTTCTTCTTGGTAATTGATTCCTCTAAATAAATATACACTCAAGGCTTCGAAAGATCTCTGCTAGTAGCCGGATCAGCAACAGTGTATTTCAAATTTGTTAATATTACAGTAAAATCATCGGGTGGACATTGCAGTTCACTTTCACACCCAGATTACTGTGATATATACTTCAAACTTTGCGCTAAGAGCTTGAATAGCAGGTGGGTTTAGATATCCCGATATCCTTACAGGCAACAGAGAATGCAATATCTTCGACGTGAGAACACCGAAATCACCGATGAGGGATCAAGACACTTTTGTTTTCAGTGATTCTATAAGCTACATTCCAAACCCTGTATCTGGACTTGTAACACACCTTCCGGTAATATAAAATTGCTTCAACATTGTTGTAGTCTAAGCTGCACATGAAAATCGAGGTTCGGGATTCAGATTATTCCTTTTCGGACTTGGATGACCTTTTGATGACATTCGAGGATACATCTTACAAATTCACTGTGTATCCATTCGATGCAGCTGGCAGCAGAGGCTCTCATGGTTTATCAGATTTATCATCCTCTAATCACTACAGAATATTTCGAAATATACGTGAGGGAAATATAACCATGTACATTGCGGTTTGGGCAGTTTGTAATCGCAACAGTTATGGTAGTAACTGCAATGTCAGCTGCATTCCGGAAAATAGGATTCGCCACTATGGATGCAGTAGTTCAACTGGTGAGAAGATATGTCTTCCTGGTGAGTTCATTTCTGTTGAGAAGTTAGACTGTATAATTGGTTTTGCTAGCCAGCTGGTCATTTCATGGTTTTAGGTTTTTGGAGTGACTTTTTGTTTTGAAGATTTTCCGCACAAAAGATGCAAATACTGTGCAAGAGATCCACTACAACTCATTAGTGTCTTCGGACATCACGTTCGCACACGTGGTACAGTCCACACAAGTTGTTTCGTCAGTTGTTGCTTGATAGCGACATACAGACAACCAAACGATCCTCAGACTTTCATTGTCATACTTTATTTGTCTCAGAGAAGTGGCTGTTTTCAGTGCAACAGCCAAAACTTTACAGGGACAAAATGTTTTGCAACACATTCATCACAATTTGAAAGCCTAATTATCTTTCTTACAGTCCCCATCATGGAGTGCCAAAGCAACCACGAGTGGTTTGCTCAAAACAACTGAACGCTATTCTTAGTGTATGTTTCAAATGTGCTGCCTTGAAGACTCGAGTCTAAACGTGAGCAAGCACTCATTTATAAACTGGGGAACTTCTACTCTTTTCTAAACCAACCAATTTTAAATGACATTCATCTGCAATTCAGAGTTCATATTTGTGATTTTCACATCCACTAGGTATGTGACACCGATGGTCATAGTGTTGTATAATTTTAGTTCCAAATACTGTAGCAAAGAGGAGGTAGAGTTAGATGGGAACAGAAAACTTAACAGCTCTCATGAAGCATGCGCTTAACGAAGGCAGGTGATTTGTGTTTGCTGATATTAAATTTGTTACTACAAAAGACAAAACTAATGTTGATGAGGTGAATTATGGTATGAAGTGTTACGTACTGTTCAGAGTGCTAGTATTAACTTCAATCTTTTCCCATGATGAGAGAGGTGAAAAATGTCTATTGGCTTTAACAGCACTTCATATGAAAGTTGGATATGTTATGTTATTAATTGGTGCTTATCCTATGAACGATAGCTGTCTGGACATAGCATTCTCAACCAGATATAAATGTGTGGATTTTATTATTCTAAGCATATCGTTGTCGAAACATTCAAATATTCTGTGACTTGGTGGAAGCATAAGATGTCCCTTAGCAGCTCACGCACTATAGTTTTCACTTTGTAACTTACGATAAACTTTTAATTTCTCATGCCATAAGTGGACATGGTTATAAGCAACTGGTAGACATGTGTCAAAAGCACCTTAGTCAACTGTGTACATGTGAATTTATGCGGTGACTGATTTCAAGTCACATGTTTGCATCCTGAATTCCATCATAAATTGGTTCCGACTTCATACATAAATGCCGAATCTAGCAAGCATCTTCCTCGTTCCTGCATTCATCCCAATAGAAGAAAAGATAGTTGAATCAGCCTTCAGCATCAACTTGACCTACCTACCAATGCTGAATTCATATAAGGTTGTATGATGAGTGGTTCACTATTGTTTATTTTCCTCTTAGTAATAAGAGGGAACAATCTGTTGGAGCACCCTTGATAATCAGTCACTAGTATCCTTTCATTAAACATAATACCACAGATGATGATGGGTTTACATTTGTTCGTAACTATGAAGTCTTCCTACTTAATGTTCGCACTCTTTAAAGCTACTAACATTTAGCAGAAGTGCTTTTTCAGTTCAAATAACTTTTGAATTTGCTAAGTAATCAAAGGTGACCAAGGAGGAAGTGTCTGAACATTTGACTAGAGAATGAATGATGGTGTTGCTCTGAAAAATTGATTTGAAAATTTCGTAGAAGTCTTCTAAGCAGGCAAATTTGCATCGGAAGACTGGTTCGATGGGACGGCGTGATCTCCAACCCTAACATATCCAAGCATCAACCAGTGAGCTACATAAATTAGACTCACAACCTAAGTTTTGCTTTTCTGTCAGAAAGAAATTGATGCTAGCCAGTAGTGATAAGTACAGGCAGCCATTTACATTCCCAAACTGCTGTATATTAACTTGGTTTGAGGCAGAGCTTCCGCCAAGGCTCATTAAATTGCAGCAAAATGGAGTACGGTTAGTGGCAGATTCGTATAAAAGCCTGTTTGAACCTAGACTTGTGAGTTGCCTTCGGCTTATATGAAGCACAGTTGTATAACAACGGTAAAATATATGTAGTATGTGTTTCATAAGTGAAGATGGCTTAAAACGGTTCCATTAGCGAAACAGCATTAAACACTGTAAATTACCCCTTCAGTCATAATATAGTGATTTGCTATCACCTTGAGAGTTACAACTTCATATGTAGCACTGTTACGCACGTCATATGTGGTCAAGAATGTCTTCAGATCCTCCTGCAAATATGTGTTTATGTCACTACATTTACGGCTGATCACCCAGTCTACCATAATATAAAGACGGTTCTGGATAAGTGGTGTATTATCTTTGTACACAACTACCTTTGTTTCCGTAACTGCAATCACTACAATTTTCACTGAGTAGAATAAGATTCACATCCATGACATTTCCTCTCTGAAAATTCAGGCATAAGTGTGGCAGACAAGCTTTCGCTTTGAGGTGATTAATGATTTTAGCAAACCGGTCCCAAGAGCATTGGCTAATGAGATCCCAATGTTCAGGAACCTGAAATCTTTTGGTTTCTCACCACTTTTCTGCCCAGTATTTTACTAAACCACAGTCACAATATACTTATAGCTATCCAAATCCCGCTCCTGCCCAAGACATATGGGATTTTGTTGACATGTCAGCCATTTACGAATTATTTATGTAATATCAAATACAATTCGTGATTAGTGGAATGGTCTGCAAGCATCAACCTTCATACAAAGAATACTGATGCGTCAGATAGTTTTCTGGTGAGTCTGATTACTTTAGTGTATAATCTCGAAGTTCCTTCGTGGTTTTGACTGCCTGAATACTGCTAACCCGTTTTCCGTCAAAGAGCGTAAAATCAAAGATGAAAATATAAAAGGGTGCAGTAAACACATATCGAATTCAAAAATCTTAAGGCAGCCACTTGTTCTGCATCAGCTTTGCTGAGTTCATTGATGAATTTTGTTATTTGCAGTGGATATAATACATACAACTTTATCTTCTCCATAGAAAGTGAATAGGTAGAATGGTGTCATGATTCGGAAACGAGAAGTCAAATGAAGAAAAATATCCGTAAAGTACTCGTGGACACTTGAGACACTTAAGCGTAGAACACAAAGAGCTTATCAGTCAGTACCCTTAATAATAGAGAACAATCAATCGCTTAATAAGGACGTCATGTCGCGTTTATTAACGTTTGAATCTCAATCTCACCTGCAAACGCTAGAGGCTCAAGGACCGCAATGAAATTCAGTGAGGTTTCCTGAATAAAATTCTTACCTATTTGTTAGGTATAGGTAATATACCTACCATAAATGGCTGTCCATTGCAGGTGAGTCAAGTAATACTGAACCGAATTCCTGACTATTCCATCCAATGTCCAGTCCTCCAGAGTTTCATTCATTGACAATCTTAATCTATTAAATAATAATATTACGTATATCGAAAACCATAGATTTTGAGAAAGTATTTCAGACTAGAGGAGATATTCATATAGGATTGACTTCAATGTTCGCTTCTGAAGAAAAAATTCACGTGTTATCTGATAATGTTACTCAAAATAACCATAATGATAAGAAAGGGCAGATAAAGGTTTATGTACTTAACTTAACAGAATTTATTGTATAGAAAGGTGTCATGGAATTTCAGTAGTAGGAGAATTCGAACCTTTGAAAGACTGTTATTGATCTGAGTCTCAAACAGTTCACATAACTGTTATTTTTTTCAAAAATTCTAAAACAATTGACATTCTGAGCATACAGCTTCAACTAACTACTCTTCTTTAAGATTTTTTTCATTGTGGACACCCCTCAAGATATTTGTCCTTTGGGCTCACGTATTTTACCGGTGAAACATGAATGAAATACTATCAACAGTAAATAAGTGAGACATTCCATAAACCACAGAAGCAAGCAGATTTCATCATAACAACTGTATCCCTCTAATTATGCATTCTTTCGAAAAACACTTTTCCTTATTCTATTATCTAAGCATCAGTATTACGGGATACCGATGACCAGGATAGAAATGCAGATAGTCCATTTTATGAAATAACCTTTACCTTTTAATTAACTTTGATAACAAGGATCGATTAAATTCGATCTCATGTACAGAATTTTCTGTATAAGTCTGGAACAAGCATATCTTTGGCCAATTATTATTATTATTTGTCCCTTGGGTTCTTAGGAAAACATAGGGCTTCAGTAACACGTCTCCATTTCACTCTGTTCTCTGCAACCTTTTCAGCCTCGCTCCACGACAGCCCACAAGCTCTCATTTCTTCCTCAAATGATCTCCTCCATGTCACCCTCAAACGCCCAACACGTCATTTGTACTCGGGCGCCTGGCCTGACGCGTGATGTCCCCGAATGGTCTTATCAGTGCATACCCAGTCCATCTCCACATCCTTCCAGTGCATATTTGTTGAGCGATAGGTTCCTGGTTCGTTCGTTGCCAGCCAGCAAGAGTTCCTCGTTGCTAATTCTTTCTGGCCATTTGATCTTCAGTAACGAGCCAGGGTAGGCGGTGATTGATAAATGTCTGTAGTTTGTTGGAAATGCCTTTCGTAACGCGCCAAGTCTCTGAACCATACAGAAGCATTGACTAGGCTGATATTGGTGTTGAAAATCCTGTTCTTGTTCACGCTTTATGCTGAGTCAGTGCAGTAGATCTCCACACTGGTTTCAGGTTGATAAACGCCTGTTTTGCTGTCTTTCGGATCCTGGCTGCTTTGACGTCCTCGTCTGTGCCACCACTACCTGTAGTTGAAACGATTCTGCCTTGCCTGGGTAAGTGAAAGAGGCTACTTCCTTTAGGTCTCTTCCGTTGATGGTGATTAAAGCTTTTTGTTGCTGGTGGCGTTGTTGGTTGAGTATCATCATCACCTCTGTCTTCTCTGCCTCTTCTGTCAACTTGTTAGTTTTTGCCTGTGGATCTTCGAGTTTGTGCGACAAGATATTAGACACAAATCAACATCATCTGCGAAATCCAAATCTTCTTCTGGGGTGTATTTATCGGTCCACCCAGCGTATGCCGCCCTTCTCACTCCTCACAGTTTGTTGCATGATCCAGTAGACCACAATCAGGAAGAGCATAGGCGATAGTAGATAGCCTTGTCTTACTGCTGTTTTCACTTCAAAGGCATCAATAAGCTTCCGTTATGAATTACTTGGCATGTGGCGTCTTCATATAGTTGTTGAATGAGTTTGATAAAGGTTTGTGGTATTTGGTATTGTTGATGAAGTCGCCAAATTACTTGTCAGTGGACGCTGTCGAAGGCCTTTTCAAAGTCGACAAAGTTGAGGTAGACATCCAATTGACTGTCATTCTATTCTCTGTTCTATGATGATGCGTAGCGTGGCCTTGCAATTTGGTTCACACATGATTTGTACTTCCTGAATCCAGCCAGCCTGTTCCGGTCATAGGTTTGAATCCAGCTCATCCTTTAGTTTCTCCAGAATGATGCGAGTTAATATTTTGCTTGGGGTGGACAGCAGCATGATTCCTTGCCAGTTCTTGCAAAGACTTAGGTCACCGTCCTTCCAATCGCCAGTTACCTTCCCTTCCTTCCAGACCTTCTGCAATAGTGGTTTGGGCATGTACACTGTTGTCTCTGAGTTTGTTCTCAGTGCTTCTCATGGGATTCCATCTGGTCCTACTGCTTTCCCGCATTTCAGTAGCTTTATGACGTTCAGGACTTCGACTTTCGTCGGAGGGCTTGTGTTCATTTGTAGTTCTGTGGCTGGGCTGCAGGTGGTATTTCTGGAAGAAGTGCAGGTGATGATCGATTCAAAAGCTTTTCGAATTGTTCAACCCATCTTTTCCTTTGTTTCTCTTCTTTCGTGATTAAATTTCCGCCATCATCTTTGATTGTTTTCATCTGTGTTGGTCTCTTCCCGCCCAGATATTAACCTGGCAATTTGATACAATGTTGTCAGATCTCTGTCTCTCCTACTTGCAGCCTGTTCTGCTTCACTTGCCAATGTGTCGTAGAAGTGTCTTTTGTGTTTGTGCGCACTCTTCCTCACTTCTTTTGTCCAGTATTTTATACATTGTACTCAGTTCCTCTTCTCGTTGCGCATCCTTGAACTGGTTTATCTTCTGCTTCACCATCCTCCTCTCCCTCTTCTATCAGCTTCCATGTGTCCATCGAGATCCATTCCTTATCTTCTTCCTTCTTCCTTCCTAATACGGCTGTGCAGGTTTCTTTCCACATAGCTTTCAAAGACTTCCAGTCTTCTTCCACACAGGTTTCTTCAGGGATGTTCCTCGATATCTCCCATTGTGTCTTGATGGCTGCCTTGAAGATCTCCTTTGTAATTTCATCCTTCAGTTTCCGAGTGTTGTACTTGAATTGAGGTCTATCACCAGCTTCCTTGAAGGCTTTTAACTTGATTTGGAAGGTTCCCTGCACTAGATAGTGAGTGGTGTGAACCTACATCTGCTCCTCTTCTTGACCTAGTGTCAAGTAGACTGCGTCTCCACTTTCTTGAGATTGAGATAAAGTCGATCTGATTTTTAGTGTACCCTGGTGTCTGGTGAAATCCATGTCGCTTTGTGAATATCCTTGTGCTTGAACACACTGCCTGACTCCAACCACCAAATCGTTGAGTGCACAGAATCCTGCAAACAATTCTCCATTCTCGTGCATCACCTCACTGAGCGCTTCTCGACCCATGATGGATGAGTTCTGTTCCGGTGTTGTCCCCTCCCAGTTTGGCATTCATGTCACCCCACCCATTAGAATGAGTTTAGATGTCGCCAACTGACGTCTTGTCTAGTGTTGATTGCAGTTGTCTATAGAATTTCCTCCTTCTTCTCTTCATCTGCAATATTTTTAGTTGCGTAGCATTGTATGATTGTGACCTTCCTTCCTTTTGAGTTGAACCTTATTGTCATGATCCTACAGGAAATCGGTTCCTACAACATGAGAGCCTTTGATGCTGTTGGGGACATCATGATAGTCACTCGAAAACTCAGTGTGCTCATGGTTGTCGTCTAGGTGACAGTATTGAAGTAGATTATTGATTCTCCAGTTGACAGATTGGAGAGTCCACTTCCATTCCATCTGCTTTCACAAATTCCTAACACTTCTATGCTATACCTTCTCATCTCCTTTGCAATCTGAGCTGCCTTGCTGGGTTCAAACATGGTGCGGACATCCCGTGTCCCCATCTTTACATTAGCTTTCATCGAGAGAAGACACGTTGGCCGATTGGCTTCCCTAAGGATTTTACCAACCGGTGTCATTTCGTCTTTCCGATTCCAGCGAGAAATAATTTTGTTTATATTTTTTATATTTTGCCTGTGCTTTGAAGTTTCTGTAGCTGTTGGATTGATTTTACGGGGTAGGGCTGCTAGTCCTACGCTCAACCTTCCCTCTTTCCCCGTGCTTAGGACTGGCTGGCAACTAGTGAACTAGTTAATCAGGTGAGGTTTCTGGTCCAATAGGCGGTATTCAATTTCTCATTGAATTCTGTTCCTCAAAATGTAATTATCACTACTTTTCAAAACAGGTTTTCTTTTCGTAGTCGTTATCTGGAACATAAGTGTATCTAGATTACTACTAGGTTTTATAGCTTTTTAGCATGCTAGAAATGTCCTCATTCATAACGTACGTCGGCGACCTCTTCAACTTGTGTCTATACCTTCTTGTTTGAAAAACCTAGAATTCAGTGGTCATAAGTTATCCATTCTAAAGTGACTTTTCGTATGTATATAAATGACTTGACTAGTATATTCTGAGACGTAACAGATTTTTTTCCGATTCATGATTATGTGAATAAATTTGCCTTCATTTTAAATGATCAGCAAACTGATTGTGAGTCCACTCATTCTAGTTAAATAAAATTTGCTTATTCATTGGTTTTTAATACTGAAGGATGGATTGGTCAAGAATGTGATAAAATCGATCACTGTAGTATCGTAGCGTCGTGTGGTCTTATGGGAACCTGTGTTAATTCACCTTCTGGTTATAATTGCACTTGTAAACACAATTTTACAGGTAAGTTATCACGTCTTGTGTGAGATATTGACAGAGGTTATATAGAGACAGTGATATGGATGGGCTATTATTTGCTTCATCCATTATCTTGGTTTCTGAATGGATTACTACTAGACCATAGATGTTGATATAAAGTAATCCCAAAGGTTAAACCCATTCCATTTATTTGAATTTGCATATCTGAACTGTTTTTCTTCCCTCAACGTAAGGTGTAAACGGAAGCCTGTTGCCTGCAATTGTGTACTGATAATAACTTGTATTTTTTTGAGATCAACTAGTCAAAAACTTTATCACTTAGCCATGTAGACGAGATAAACAAAAAAAATAACAGCAAGTGATTATGCACTGTAGTAGAATTCTCGCCGAAAATTAAGTATTACCAGCGATTTAAATAAGACACTTATATTTGATCTATGGTATGTTCCAAGAGCAACTCATGATCTATGTAACCGCTTGTATGACTGCAGAGGCCAAGTGGTTGATAAAGCTGCGCACTTAAAGTCTGTACTACTTATATCTGATTATCATTTATTGCCAACAGAAGGATTACGGTAAGGAAAGCATTGAACGAGTAAATCAAAGCTTCCAATCAGTCCGTAACTCTTATAAAAGTAGATTAATGCACGCAATTTCAAGATTTTTGATGCACTGAACTTTAATTTACACTCATATTTCTAACCGTATTATTCCATACCAATTTATTTGCTGAGTATTTCACAGAATGAGACAGTTTTATTGGCTGAATAATGTTCCGAACAGAACTTGCTTTCATATACCTTTGACATAAATCTGAACAGCGAATTCGCTTTGAAAAGCTATTCAGTAGGCAACACTATGCCATTGTCTAAAATATCTAACAAGTAAATACCAGGGTATCCAAGTTCTACTCTTATTACATTTTATTGCATTGCCTACTATCTTCGTATATTATCAATCTATTGGTACTTGGCTTCATTCCGGCCACTCCATTTTAAACTCCAATAACTGATAATAATTCACTTCAAACAAAAAGCTACATTCTGCAACAACGATTGATTGTCCAAGCGACGCTTTATTGATAGCCACTTTAATTTCCAACCTCTTGACAACATGCATAATTTAGAAACCATAATTGGCAAGCATTTTCTAGTCAATATAATCCTTGCCGAGTTTGAACTGTGAACTCCTCGGATAGCAACATTTCGGTGTATCTCCACAGTACCACTCCACTTTAAGTGGGATCTATGATAATTCTCATCGTCTGTTTCTAAAAATGACAATACTTGTCATCTGATATTTCTCAAGTCACTAAAATCCAGTTATCTGTCTAGTTAAAGACTTCATGAATGAGATGAATACGGTGTTCACTGGTCGTCATTAAGTTTGGCTGTTGAGTAAACTATGAACAGTTTTCTTATGTGGAAATGAAAATTCCATATCCACAGACAACTTCCCCATGGCGAGGTGGACACCTTAAGTAGGCGAACTGGAGATCGATTGATTGATTGGAGCAAACAAACAGTGATTTCTTGAAGTCGAAAATGTTTCTTCAAGTTATCTTCGATCTGTAAACTGCAAAAACTGAGTTGAATCTCCATGATATAAATTTTTCAAGCCACTCACTCGGTATGCGTTGTATCATAGTGGTACAACAAGCTGTATACTGCATCCTCCTCGAAAAGGAAGGAGAAGTTAGTTGTAATCTGGAAGAGCCTCCGAAATGTGATATTTTCAACAGTCAGAAAACATTGTTGGTCATTGTTTTATCTCGTGAAAAGTATATACACACCAACATTCTTTTTCTTTACCCCTGAAACTATGTGGCTTATGAAAGATATTTGGCAGTATATATTTTCAATCCAAAATGCCATTTAAGTAAACCAATAAAATGTGTTACAGTAGTAAAATTGCTGAAGGAAGTTGAGGATGTGCTGGTTTTCCCTGAAGTTACAGCTTTAAACCTGAATGCAGCTAATCCAGACTTTTTTATTCCGTACCATGAAAATATTGAAGTTAACAGACCTAACGTGAGCTATTTCAGATATCAGATAGGTGTGTTCTTTCTAAGAAGAACAAATGTTCAGATCAAAATCATGATAATCGCTTGATGTATCTAGTAGCTAAATTTACCAGTCGATACCATACAGGGATTTGACTAGTGTGCATTCATCAGCCTGCACCTCATTCAACCTATGATGTGTAAATCACACACAACCATCTAGTCTTTGACTGTTTCATCTATGGTAAACTGTAAATACCACAACGAGTACTTCATTTTCCCAATGTTTCTGTGTTCAGATAACCACAAGCTGCTATAGGGGAACTGGTTTAGATCTTACTCTTGAGTCACTGTTAATATATACCTTGAGACACTTTAAAACTAATTAGCTACAGTATTCAGGCAGCTGATACTAGTGGGTTAGTTGCCTTTGCAGTCAATCAGACCATTAATTTTGAACATATCACTGTCATGTATCTATTTCCCATCCATGTCTTCAAATCGCTCCTTCATTACAGCTTGAAACTTGTATCTCCAAGTAGTTTTATCTAGCTCATTTGAAAAGGACAGCTAAATCAGTCCACATGTGCTTGGGATCATCCTGACAACAACAATAACAGTCAACTGCCTTGTGGGCATATGATTAACAAAATACTCTTATTCATCACTGAGAACCTCTCATTTCATTGATATCATCCTTAGTATGAATCATATTTGCAAACATATCATGCTTGCTAAGCAGTTAGTCAGATATTGTGACCAGTATTTCCTGCATTGCTTTTATTCCCTTTTTCAAGGGGTCGATTGTTCAGAACCTCCAAACCAATGTACTCCATTTCAAGATTTCTGTCAGAATGGGTTTTGTCTGTTGAAATACTTTGATGAGGAGAAGAGAATGTTGTCTGAACCAATTCCATATTGCGCTTGCTTGCCTGGGTTTACTGGAAAATGGTAACTAAATTACAAGATGAAAGGATTTGAATGTGAATGCTATTTTATTTTATTATTTATCACAGATAAGTTTAAATATTAAATAGCTGTAACTTACTAAGGTGGCATTGATGTCAACTGACTGAACCTGCATAGTGTTCAGTAGCTTAACCTGAAATCAGACAACATTTTGAAAATTTTCTTACTATATTTTGCCGATGTCGACATTGTGACCACTATGAATTGGATTACTGGCTGTAACATGAATGTAGCTGGTGGACGAACAACTCTGCAAATTCACTAGTAAGTATCAATTGACACCAGTGGTAGTCAAGCTGAAATCATTGTGAGCAATTTAGATGATGTTGCTACTATCCTGGAAGTATTTTGGTAGAAATATCAACCATCCAAAACACTGTTGTTTGACGTGGCATACACTGAATATGATCAGTGGAACCAATCTTCCACTATCCTAGTTAAAATACACAAGCTGTCACTGACAGCCAATGCCTTATTGAAATTGTCAGGTAAAGAACAAATGAGATAGGCAGAGTACATTGAAATGGTTTGAAAGAAATTTTCAGATGATGCCAGTTTCACACTAATGAAACGTCTAACATTGATAGAATTCCTATCACCTTTCCAAAGAACACCAAAAATATGTACTTACCTACTCTGGTAAATCATAGTCTTTCACTAAAACCCAAGTAACGCCTTGTGGTTCAGAATCTCCTGGTGTTTCACCACATGTCAATGAAACTGATAGGAAAATTTAGCTTGGATATTTGATCACGAAGATGGGAGATTTCTTCTTAGTTTCATAGTGCAATTCTGAAGAGATCACACCAGCTGCTAGGAAACGCTGTCACAAGTACACAGTTATGAATTCGAATGTCAGATATTTAATGTCAAATAAACACAGGAGACAGTCTTTTGATATATTTAGAAATGAAGACGTCTTAATAAGGCTGCTAGTGGAGCTCTTGTGAACCGTTTACATCGTAACTAATATACCATCCATGACGTCAGATCAAGAAGAAGCTGGAGAAGAAACTAGCGAGAATAATACAACTCAGCAGAAGCGTAATCAAAACTTGGTGGAGCTAATGAGCAAGTAGATAATTAGATCTGAGTTATCAAAACACCTAAAGCCATCCAATTTCACTATACTTCACCTGCATATGATCTCCTAAGAAGTATATAAGAAGGTTTTCTCGCTAGATACAAATTTTGAAATGAATAAGTTACCCTACCATGCTACTGTGAAATGACACGCTGAGATGCTTAAACTAGATGGAAAGCAACCTTAATCAGCACTGTGCCATTTTCATTCACCATCTTCAGCTCACTTCATGCCGCCATTGTTCCACGTGAGCAGAGGATAGCGATAGCTGGATCGTGACAATCCAATTACACTTTTCTAAATAATATTTGTTCACTAACACATTTCCCGGCTTCTTCAGACAAAATGTTGAGATATTTGAGTGTCTTAAATAGGCTTTAGAATTCTGATTTTGATGTCTCTATGGTGACATCTAGAGGTGGAACTTTCATAGCATAAATAAGACCTAAACAAGAAAAGTCACTGACAGTGAGGCATAGAAAACAGTAATCAGAAACGCTGACTTCAATTTATTAGCTTGAGTGGAGGTGAACTCTTGTCACATTTCATTATTTTGGCACTTGTATTTCCAAATAAATCTGAAACAAGCAAATCCGTTTTGAGTGAGGGTTTGTTACTTCCTGACAATAGTAATATGCATAGGACAAGTTCCATGTGAGACCGAAGCCAGTAAAAGTGAATAGCTGAGGGCTTTCACCCGACACCCTAGAAAGCTGTTAGAGATGAAAAAGTTTGAAGGCACCTCAGCGGTCACTCTACACGCTGTATTTTCAGGCTACAACTTTAACTTCGACAGTTTCAGAGTTATTCAGAAAGGCTTTGTGAATTATAAGGACCACATCATAGAAGAGTCTCTGCACAAAGTGGATTAGGATTGTGTAAATAGTAATGGTAGAATGAAACGTAACTTGACTTGGTTTCAACCCACCCCCAAATACTGACATGACGAAGTCACATACACTAAGAACCACGAGCGCTTGTTCACATATAAATCTCAATCTCTGATTCATACAATCTTCACACATATTACATTACATATGGATATTATCTTTGTTCAACAATGTGATAAAGTAGAATCATGCATCCCGAAGAACTGAAATATAGTAGTCATCGAAAAACTTAGATATCATGAATTCAGGTTAGCTATAACTTTGATTAATCTATAAGCATTAAACAGTAAAATGTCGTTAAAAATGAATTCGTCTAGTTTTATATTCACTGGGAAATACAATTACCGAAATAATGACTATCGTTCTCTCAATGTCTGAAACTTCTCAAACCATCAAATTCCAAACTGATTTAGATATCTAGAGCAGTAGAACTGTTATTTTCGGCTTACTCCATGATAAGCTCAGAGATTTCATACACGCCCAAATGGCTTTGTTGAAGTGATATTCTAAACTTGGTTAACCGCTACAAATTGTGATGATAACTAAATACGTATCATACCGAGTCACTGAAGTCATTCATTCGTTACAAAACAATATCATTTGAGTAACTGATGAAAGTGCTGAAACTTCAGTGATTCCCTTGGCTAAACGATTCACCAATTAGTTATGGACCCTTGTACTGTTCTTCTCGATGAAATAACTGCTGATAAAGTCACTGATCAGAAAGAAGACATCTCCACCGACCAATACCTAATCTATGGAGACAAAACCGTTATCATATCCTAGATAGTTCAGTTATTATAAAATCTGGATGGGGTGGGAACAACTGGTGAATTGTTTTGGCTCATCTTTTGGAGACAAAGTGAACTGTTTAAGACAAAATTACCCTTTTCTAAAAACAATGTTTCATGTTCCTTGATAAACCACTGACATGATCTATCTGTAGCCAATGCATTTCATAAACACCTTAACTGCTAGAAATGAATTCAGTCGATCTCAGATGTGATACGTTATTGACTCGGATGAAGTTACAAGACTTCACAACAACAGAACACAGGTGGTCTGCAGTAAAGTGAATAAACCAGAGCATGAAAGAAAATTAAGTGGAAGGTTCTTTTACTGCATACAGATATTGTTTAAACACGTTTCTTACTGGTAATGCCACTTCACAGTAATATATCTCATTTTATGGCATATAAATCCTACTGTCTTGAAACCATAAAGACACTTTTATCTTAGCCTGCGATGCTCAAGACACCATTCAAGTGCCCATTGTGCTAACAAAACACTTCGCCTTGGTCAGGCTGGTTGTTCAGTTTCTTCCGAATAGGACTGTAATTAGATGGAAGCAGCAACCAACAATGATTTATTTAAGTGCACTAACTAGTTGAGGAAAACATTTTGGTGATTATTTCTCTTGCTTTTAAATCTCCCACCTCGAAATAATTAACTGTTTCAGTGAAACCTTTAATTCTCAAAATATCATGAGTAGTTCAGATTTTATCCACAATTTGAGTTCCTTCTCTTCATTACGACACAATTCTGCAGTGAGGTGTTAGCTGCCTTTTGAAAGCTGTTCACGAAAAGATGGTACAAAAAAATTGTTGGAAACTGTCGAACACCATGCATGACGCCATAACATATGTAAAAATATACTTGACTTTCAAATCAGTTTAGAGAACACATCATTCTGAAAGTCTCACTTATTCTTACAAGAAGAGCGTTTTAGATGAACTTGTGTAGCGGTATTTCCTATTGGGTTACATATACAATCATCCGCATTCAAAAGCATTAGCTGTCTGATCCTAGTGAGTTGAATGTGATTACATTTAGAGTGATCTTATCCTGAGATTTTCACAGCTACAATAAACTTTGACCTTGACTACTGACCTACTCGTGGAAAAAGTTTTATGATGACAGAGAGTGTTAAATTTATCGATTTAATCTCGAAATTCAGTTACCGATTGTCAGTGATGCTAGGGACTCAGACTACAGAGAATTCCTGAATATAGATTAAATGACTGCCTACTTCTTGTCTGCTTTCAGTGATTTATCAAATGTCAGGAACTGAATGGGGCTTTCTCGCGAGTAGACTTGGCTGACAATATACATGGCATTCTACTAAAACATCCTCTCATTTTGTTTTCCTAAAATCATGTGATTGTTAGTTACATGTGATTTTTGTTTCTAGGTGTGAATTGGATATAGATGAGTGTGAGATATCGAGAGAAATCACAACTTCCAAGGAGAATTATGTTGAAGCTTCACCCACCTGTAATTTAAATTCATTGTGTGAAAATCTATATGGGAACTTCCAATGTTTTTGTAAAAATGGTTGGACTGGTGTGCATTGTAATACACCACCAGCTACATGGCCTGATGATTATCAACCAGTAATACGTTCGAAAGGTCTACCTAATTTCATACCATTGACAAAGAAGAGTTATGCTAGTATTCCACAAAAGCGTCACTCTGAAACATTGGTAAGGAAAGCAGAAATTTTGACATTTTTTAACTTCCTACCCCGTCGGTGTGGAAATAATTAAATGTATCAAAATTTTCCACTCCACTTTTTATTGACGTATCTCTAATCTGATAACCGACCTCTAAATATATTACCTAATATACTCTCTGTGTTGCCTTAGGTTTCTGCATTCGGCATTGAAGATTTCAAGAATGCATATTTCAGAAGAGCTTCTTAGGAAAATAAAACCATACGCCCCCCACACTTTTGTTTTACATTGTTTTTTCTGCCTGTCTGTCTTTCTGCACTGCCAAAATTATGCATACCAACAAAATACTCCACAGTCGTTACCATTCTTATTTCAGCGAAAAATCTCTTTTTCGGCGATTTCATTTTTAAAGCTGTACACTTGATGTCAAGTCACTTTTCACCAATGCTGCACTTACTGAAACTATCTTCTTCTTATGCAGATACATAGCAGATAACAACATAAATGTTGGAATACCAACCACCTACCTTAAGGAATTGTTACTTAGATGCACATTTAACGTTCAGTTAACATTTAAGGACGTGATTTATAGACAAAAGGATTGAATCGCCATGGGATCCCCACAAGGTCCACTACTAGCAGACTACTTTATAGCCAGTTTGAAGAACGGCCCCCCGAAATCAACATTTGAAGGTTTGCAACTGTACAAAAGGTACATGGACCATACTCTTATTATCTGTGATCATTAATATAATTTGAATCAGGTTCTACAAATATTCAGTAACTGCCATCAGCAATTCGATTTATCGTTGAGGTAGAAAATGGATCGAAAACTCACTTTTTTTTATGTAGAACCGACATTAATAGCTGACAGAACGTTTAGTAGATCAATTCACAGAAAACCTCCGTGGGATGGTCAACTGACAAAATTTAATAGCTGGGTCCCTATGAGTCGTAAGCGAAATCTTATCATATCTCTTGCCATTCGCATTAGACGAATGTGCCGTCTCGATGTGTCAGAAGAGAACATTTCTGTTCTAAAGAACATCTCGAGTGAAAACGAATTCCCATCACACTTCACAGACAAAACTTCAATCCTAACCCTCCAAAAGAGAACCTAACCACCATGCCAAAAAAGACATTTTATATGAATCTAAACTTCAAAGGTGATTCTGCCACTGACAATCTAAACAGGGGAGCATATCAAACACTCTAAGGAGAACATTCTTAACATCGGCGCCGAGACTAGTATTCTTTTGTTGCCCAAAGATTTCTAACAACTCAGGGGAGAAACTTTAGCATCTAATCACTTCTATGTACATATATCAATTCACCTGCTCTCGTGCAGCCAGGGTTCGAGAGCACTATCCAGTGTGATTACTAAAAGGTAACAATGGGTCGATAAGAAGTAGTATAAGTAAACACACCGTGAACACGAATCATCCTATCTCAAAAACCTACTCATTCAAGGTCATCTATAATGTGAAAAGTAACCTCCCAAAGGCTGTATGTCTTCGTATTCTGTGCATCACCGAAGCTCATGTCATCCATATGGAGAAACCTAAAATATGTATTCAAAAGAAGATTGTTAAACCCCTCCTCCTTTTGTGGTCTTAGTTTTCAGTCTTTAAAATCTTCTCTATCCTCCTCGCCTTTCTCTTCATCTTTCTGTTTTGACACTTGTCACTTCTTAAGTAATTTGCTACTCATTCTTGTTACTATGCTCTGCCTGATCACAATTCAGTTTCCAATTATGTCATGCAACATCTTTTCCAAACTTATTTTGATTAATATTCACTACTCATCATAGATTTTTGATATTAATGACAGCTCATTTATTAACACTATTTGTGTTGCCATGCTTGACAAACCACTATAAACTATCAAATCCTTGCACGAGAAAATTGCATTAATACGTCAATGTACAGCTTAGAAAATGAAATCACCTAAAAGAGACTCTTCGCTGAAATATGTGTTCTTCTTTTATACCCTGAGGAGTATATTTCACTCATCTAATCTTATTCGTTGTTGTATTGATGCTTATATCACTACCTCAAATCGGATGCAAAAACAAAGCAGACTGATGCGTATAAAGAGCTTGTAATAAGTTGACCTGAATATATGCAGCAATTAAGTTTACTGTAAAGCAGCTGGGGCAAGGCCTTCAACAATTACTTCTAAAGTAACTGAGGCAAAGGAAAATGGGAGATGTTCAACCATTTTTCTACACCAAGATATGAATTATCAACATGCTGAACCATTCCTCTGAATAATTACATACAAACGTAAACTATATCTCAATCATTCTTTTCGGTTATTTTACATTACAGCCAAATTTCAAAGTCTTTTATAACAGCGTGGACTCACTTCATTAAAACTCTGTACGAACTTGATATATAAAAATCCGTAATCACCATATCATATAAAATGTAAGGCCGAATTCTACAGCTTAAAGCAGGAGTCTTTCAAAAGCATCTCTCTCTCAATCTATCCCCTGAAGTTCTTTTATTTCATTTAAAGGATGCTTTTCATCCTGCCAGATGAAATAATGAACGAAGTCTTGATGCAACAGGAGAACAGTAATTCAACTTGACGGATTTCCAGATTTGATGAACTTTATAGCTTGATTCTACTCACAAGATATCACATCAAAAGCTGTTTTGACAAATAACATTTCAACATGTAGGTCGACTCCAGTAGTTGACATTTCGACATCTTTATTAGATCAAATTCAGTCCACTTGGTTCCCTCAGAAGATAACAGTATCCATTCACAGTTAAAATTAAGAAGCTCCCTTCCTATTTACCAGTTTTGTTCGTATTGAACAAGTTTTATGTACAACTTAATATCTTGAGATAACCTACCAACTATTTATGACACAATCCATTCATCGTTTATCCTAAACATTACAAGTCTCCACTTAGTGATCTGGCAAAATGCGAAAATCTCAACCGAAATAAACAAGCTATGAAGGTGTTCAACATGTACCGATTTGCATACATTGGAGGCTACCAACCATGGTAACGACAAATTGTCTGCAATTTCATTAATTCAGATGCACACTCACATTATTACATTCTGTTTTGTCATGGAGGTGACAGAGATGGAGAATACAGAACATCAGGTCATGATTTGTCGCTCACTCATTGTTTCGTAGCAGAGGTCAGATATCCGGACTATTCAGTCGAAAAGTGTTTAAATATATGATTGTGGATGTGTTAACATGGGGAAGACCTCACGTAGACTAGATTAGATTGTGGAAGTATTCCATGAAGTTTCCGAATTCCAGTCTTTTCTGTGCACTGAAAATCTGAATGAGAGAGATGAGAAATGCATGAGTTGTAGCATACTCATCTAACTTTCATTTCCTTATGGTTATCTACAAAATCGGTGAGTATTTTGTACAGAATTTCGATCTTTCTCAAAGTCAGCCAATTGAACTTCACCATGTTGTTTTGATCAATCAATGTGATTTATCTGTTGACAGTGGAGGACGTCGGATTCAGTTACTCAGACATAGTATTGGCAAGATGATGTCTACTATTGGCTTTTAAATGAAATCGCCCATCTGCAACTTGGATCTCTGTAAAGAGTAATTTCTCATCCCTGTGTCTTTAAGGTTCTTCTTGTTGTTGTTATAATCATTCAGATCTTGACGAAGGCAAATCAAGATGGAATTCCAAGTTTGTCGATCCAGCTATTTACCATATTCATTCCTTAAATAAAAACTTTAGAAGTATGGGACAAACTGTCAACAACAGTTACCTACAGCTTATTGATAAACATAAAATGTATCAGAGATTGTAAGATTCATTTTCTTTAAATAATGTCTAAAGAATACCTCATTATCAACACTGTTGTCTCACTTTCCATGTAACACATCTTTAATATTTTTCCCAACTTTATCCTAGATAATAGAGAAGTCGAATAACAACTGGGTTTTTATACTTCTCAGTTTGTTATTTGGACTATGTACTGTTTTCTGTGGAATAATATATTTTGTCTATCGTCAACATAAACATCTGTCCGGTACATATAACCTTCGCTGGAGTCGTCAACCCATCATGTAAGTTCACGTTAGTCTGAACTGCTAGGAAAACCTTTTAACAGTTGACATTTAAGTATATACTGTATGGATAACTCACAAAAGATGAATTACTTTTGACTTTTTATTAACGTAATTCATCAAACTTCACAAAATTGTGTGAAGAGATTCGTAAAGTTATTTACCAGTTCAGCTATATGCCACTGAAAGAGGTTGTGAGCAGATACTTAAATAAACAAACTAAAATACCATTTTAGTCTGCTTATTAGAAATATCACACAGTGAAAAAGTAGCATTTACTGGATAACATTCCGGACATAATTTATTGTCCACATTCATATCAGGTTAGTGGAAGATGACCAGATAGAAAGAGTACTGCCCAACCAGGAATCTGAGTACTCAAAAGAATACGACAGTGATGTTCACTGTGACTTCATTTTGAGGAGTATCGAAAATGCAATGGAAAAGTTGTCAGTAGCTGATAACTGGTGCATGAAAATTCTCAGTAGTTACTAGGTGTGTCTGGGATTGTACGGGTGCATAGTTTATTCCTTCGGGTCCTATGATCTATGAGCAGAAATAGCTGTTACCAGTAACAGCTAACGACAATGTGCAAGACATTAAAACCGATAATAGATGTCATGCATTTAGGAATTTTACAGTATGTAACCTGAGAAGAATCATAGGTATACTGAATGTATACTGAGTGCATCACTGAGTAAAATTTACAAGCATCATTAGCTGAAGTGCTTGAGGAATGCGTATTTGACAATTAAGTGTAGTACACTCGGATACACGATGTTGTCTTCTGTGATATTGTCAAAACAAACAAATTGTTAGACAGATTTTTACCGAAGAAATCTTGGTTTGTTCACCTTTTACAAGACAATAGGCTTTCACGTCTAAGCATAAAAATAATTGGGAGCCAATGCTTTCAATACTCTATGAAAACGGTATGATGTTAAATATCACGAGTAGAACTGTCTTCACTCTGTATGCTGCAAACAGATAGACAAGCAAACCAACGTTAAGCTTACTACTGAAGGCCATGAGTTTCAGTTAGCACACTTAACAGCAGCATGCATGTCACCTTAAATCTGATCTGTGTCGCCTATTTTCTATCAGGATCTTCTCATATGCATCAGTAGTCAAGAATACAAGGAGTGTGTACGATTGTATCTCCTCAACTAATGAAAGGTAATTAAACTGAGAGGTGTAAGAGAAGCAGTGCTGCCCTCCCTTCACCCTTTGCTTGAAGACAGTAGTCTTATGAGACAGGGCTTCAAATCAGAAATATCAAAATTAAATGTAAGCTATCACATTGAGAAGCATGTTGCTGCATGGAGTGTCCAAGTTCAAGTGACTGATATCTGTGTATTTTATCCTATGCAGTCTTCTCAGAACGTGACTTGAACTTTCCCTGAAGTCTGAAATGAAATATTCTGCTGAAGGATGAGAATTCTCGCACAAGTCATCAAGTGTAAGGCTATTTATAAGAATACCTATTGCCCATACCTAAGCTGGTTTCTCCTGTCGATGATTAGGAATCGGTCAATAAGTCTTGAAAGTATTCGATATCGTTGAATCCATACATATATATGCTGGATATTACATCGACAATATATGGATTAGACTCGTACATAACTCTAGAATATCAGTCTCCATGTTGTATAGCTCCAAGTACTGAACAAATATCTACAAACGGGAATAGTCCGATGACAATACTGTTGACTAGTGTCTAAAATATTTGTAAACATTTTTAGAGTGTAATATTAACTAATCAATCTAACGATTGACAAAAACATTTTCGAGACTGTCACATTTTTACATAAATAAATTATATGATTGAATATTTGTTCACCATATTTACAGCCTATTCGATTTCATACAACATCTATTAATTGTTTATTAGTGTGCAGGTGAATTTCACTCATGTAAAAAATATGAACACACCCGCAATCAAGTAATAGAGAGTGGCTGCATCGTAATATTTTGTAAAATAGGTGAATGTACAGAAAGGTGAGATTTAACATGTAGGACTCATCGAAATTCATGGTGTCTGGTTAAATAGATTGACAGTCGGAACTTTATATTTCTTGCTATGCATGTGTATATGATTAAGAGTTGAACTATCTGGGATAGCCGTTGTTTGACAGACTTGTATTATTCCTACTGAGTGATGACTGTAGGTGAATTGGAAATGTGGGTAGTTGGAGGATTCAGACTAGCAGCCTCCAAGTTACCGGTCTGGTGCTCTACTAACAGAGATACCAGGTCTGTCAACTGACTAGATTTTAATTTTACTTCATTCAGCAAACATCGTGCCCACCTTTCATATGAAATAATGATGCCTTGCTGTCTGTTGATATGTGATTATCTCTCAGTACAGTTAGTCGAAACTGCTTCGAGGCGGTGTGTCTCTATTTGTTGGTCTTCGTGTTACAGCGATATTGTCTAGTGGAGGCGGATTACAAGCATTTACCACACTCATCACTCATCACTGGTTCATCTGTCAGTCCATTGTGTTATGCATGTACTGTACCTATGAAAGCACCAGTGCATTGAAATATTGAAAGTGAACATTTCATTTCTCACCTACACACACTGACCTACCACTTTTGATTTGATAGGCAACTGTAATTGTGACTGTCTAGAGAATAAAAAGAATACTTAGAAATCATCTGTCATATAACTAACTTTATTCTATGTCGTACAAAATTGATCGTTTACCATTGAACTTAACTTCTATTGAATGCATGAATATTTTACCGATCCTTAGTTCACAGGTGCTATATGACCAAAACCCTGTAAACGCGACTACTTACACAAAATCCAGCCTTTCTCGTTTCCAACCACTGCCAACACCTCAAAGATTCCCTCATTTCACTTTAAGAGGTCTAACACTGAAGACTGAAAAGTGCCAGTCAACAGTCTATGATGAAATTCCTGAATACTTTTTACAGGGCAGACTTCATCTTGCTGAGAATATGTTGTTAAGAAAATCTCAAGGTTCTGTTTATGATCCGTATAGTCAGTTAGAATATGACACACTGGAAACAACATTCCGGACTGAGTGTAAAGTCGACCAAGAAAGCATTAAACACAGCGATGAAGACATGGAGGGTAGACCATTCGAAACATCGGGTGAAGAGCAGTTGTCTACCTCACAAAAACCTCAAGATTTCTTCCAACAGTCAGAAGTATTTGGAGCAGGATGTACATACCTTGAGCTGAAGCATAATTTGCGAATATAAAACGAGTACTAACTCATTCCTAGTCACCTTCACACTCAATAATGATCTCACACTGTCATTATTTAAGCCTTTAAATTAACGTTTGTTTACTAATCTTTTAATTATCATTTTGTATCAGAACAGATCCTTTTCAACTAATATCCTTTGCTTATGCTAAATCAAGATCATGTAGTGATTTTCATTTCTGTTTACTGCTTGTCTTTATCAGATCTTGTCTATTACTTCAAGTGATTTGCATAGTCTTCATGCTTATTTCTCGAATGTGTGACTTCATTCCTCCATCTTATTTAACAATAGATTACTTCATGCAATCAAAATATGTCTATAGTTACTTCCTAGAGGTTTTTACTCACGGGTGATTCTGAATTATTGAGTTAAGTCATTTATCTATAAGAAATTTCATTGCATTTAGTGAGAAAATGATGAAGCACAAGAGAAACTTTCCCCTGTGTTCACTTGATGAACCTATGTCGCGTTCTGATTGATGTCGGTCTCCTAAGTAGGCGAATACACGGCTAGTGCATGACATCAAAGCCAGGATAGATGCCTAATTCGGCCATCCATACTGATTGACACTATATCTAGTTGTGTTGTGTTTGCTGATGCCTTGAAACCCAAATGAATATTCTCCTTCACTAGGTTAAATGTCTTCGTGGATTTTCGGCTACTGTCGGTGTCATCATTTGACTAATTGTTGTCACATACAAATGATCATTACTTCTCACCTACTCAATGTAGCCATTCACAAGTCGAATTCATTCATTTCAGTTCATAAATGAAGTGATGTGAAAACTGGATTTCAAGCAGCTAGTCATTGCCAACATGGACAATACAAGTTTCGTGTTCAGAGCTTGAGTGCATGATAAAGTTTTGTCTCTCAACACAAATTCTTCAGTTACTATTCGACCGTTTATGATAAGTAGAGATTTCCGACTAAATCACACTGCGTAGTCGTATGCTTATGGTGATCAGAGCAGTGGAATACAAGTGAAATTCAGAAGCCTATTAGACAGGTTGAGAAATGTGATTTCATGATGTTGCAGGTCATGTAGTAGAATTCTACACTGTCACTCAGGACTCAACTTCAGAGACTGTAAGCAAAATTCATTTGATTTCCTCTTTAGGAAGGCATAGTGCTTTCAGTTGACATATCGGATAGTGAGAACAAACTTTATTCTGACTAAAAGAAGAAAGTGCAGAAGAATACGAAGGAACCTGTAGCTGTGTCGTATCAGCTACACTGGGAAAGCTAATAATTCACCCGTGAGTACACTAATAGACGCTTCTGCGATCTACTTTTAAATGCAGACATTCACTGAAACTTTGAATCAGATGAAAACACAAACAGTGTGAATTAAATCTTTGTTGGCAAAACGTTGACAGTTACAACCAATTTGATATGGTAATCCCTCAAATGTTAAATAATTTCGAATCAATAATGCATCAACGCAAAGAATAGCTAAGGTATTGATTAGGTTCTGTTTTAATAAATGTTGTCTTTGACGAGGGTGAAAAAACATTAGATATAGAGTTGTGTTTATGTAAATCACAGCAGGTTTCAAATCAAATAATTCCATCTTTTCGCACGGAAGTCTGGTCTGAGCTTCTTCAGGGAAATAATCAAAATTAAAATATCAAGGAAATATAGATGAATTCAAAAAACCGTGTATTTAATCTCCTCGTCCAGTCCTCTTCGTAAAGTCATTGTCTTTCTAAATTATGATAACTAATCGTGTAGTGTGAACTTGTATGTCTTTTTTGTATGGCGTATGTACGTGCAAAGGGCGAAAAGGTGGGTGAAAAAGCTTGAGGAAAATAGATTATTATGCTTAATAGGCTTCGATGATCAGAATACTTTAAAAGTTTAATAAGCCACACTTCAAGTAGCAACAAGGAGTATCTATCGAAGTTGTAGTTGCATGTCTGGTGAACAAATTACTGCAAACGTTTCATCCCGTCTAAATATGTGAATGCACGCTACATTCGTTGAAAGATTGAATCAAGTTAACTTAGTACGTGAAAATAAACAGGGTGACATTCGCAACTATGCCCGTTGTTGTGTTGCTGGAAACTTCATAATCACTCTTTATGCGTAGATGATCAATTCATCTGTTTGATTCTTACAAACGTGACACTGAGTTATTAGTAATGAAGTCTTCGAACCAACGACTCTTCAGTTATGGTGCAGACTCCAAGATCTGTAGGTATAAACCCTTGAAAAATCACAAGGCATAGAAGTGGCAGTACGCTGGTGCTCACGCACGATTGCACATTTCGAAGATCAGCATGATTTTGACTAACATGTTTGCCAACAAGTAGTTTGAGTGAAATTTCACTTCTCACTGACTGGTCGTTACTGCTTAGAATCTGGAACGGAAATATTTCACACTTGCATCATTGTTCTGACCAGGAATGAAATGTCACTAGATTTCAGGTACTCGTAATATTTCTAGTTGTCAATGTCAAATGTTAATTCAGAAAACATGCATAGTATCGGGTGACACAATGAAAGGTCAACCTACACATAATCGTATGAGAAACACATTATTAAACAACACTACAAATTCACAGGTTAGTGGTTATTGTCAAACAGTTTCAACTTCTACTACCCTGTATTAGTAGAACATGAGACTGGATAACCTCATTTATGAGTGAGATACCGAATCTTTTCTCTAAATCGGAGTCAGAATGAGACGATTATTAGGGATCTGAAATCATTATTCACTGCATTTCATATGAAGACACTCTGAGAAGATGAAAGCTCTAATAGCAAGGAATGAAATATTTGCAAACTCAGTGATATCGCCTCCACTTGTGTGAGTAAATAGCCTGACTATTGAAATGATGTTAAATATTTGTAGTTCAAGTGAATGATCGAGGTTGTGTTGCGTTGTCTGAGCTCAATTGCTTCATCGTGGATCTTCCACTGTCCTTCTAAACAAAATCATTTGCATAAACTTCAGTATGAAATGAGCCATCAGGACTTCAATGTGAGTCATTCCCAAGCCTGTTCTAATGAAGTGTTCTATTATCGGTAGTCTCTCTGTCTCTTCTTGACCTCTAACGTTGCATTTATTGTTTGTTTTCCTTGTCGGCTGATAGGTTTAGTCTGCATCTATACACCCACTGATTGGTGACCGACGTTAATACTAAGCTTCTAGGAATTCTCTGATATTCTTTGAGGTTCATTTGTGAAAGATACCTACATTTCGAAAACCCAATTCATGTCCCTGATTGTCCGTGTGTATCGACATAATAAGCAAATAATTGTGGCATCTAATTGACGATTGATGCTAATGTAGATAAAGGTAAAGAGGACGATTTATTTGTCTAAATTAGTACTGATCACAGTTGTTGCAACTGTTTTGTAAATGATATTTGGTTCATCTTCTCTGCCTGTTGTGTCGAAATCCAGAAATCAAGTAATCATGACCAAATTTCAAATTATTTATTTCTGTCGTGCAGCCTTGCAATCCAACGTGTTTTTTAACTGACAAATGTCAGTGCCTAGAAAGCTAAGCTCTGCTTCATCCGTCCACTCATTTTACATAAATAATATTCGAGTGATGTGAGTAGCTTACTCATGAGGCCAATGTTTTCAGTGCTAGCCGATGAGGAAACATGATTTACCTCATATTACTGACATGTCGTGCCTGACAAGGAAGAAAGCTTAGTCACAAAGGATTCAATTTTAGGCGATCCAAACGACAGTGTATTGTAATGAAATGGTATTCATGTGGGTGTTGAAACCATTTATTAATAGATGGATTTGAGTCGATAGCCGCTCAGCACATAAGACTCGACAGCCACATCACACGATGAATCCATATACCCAATCATCGAAAAATTCCTAGAATGTAACAGTGCAAATAAAGATGGTCCGCAAAAATGTGGATCCGTTAATGGATAAACAACATAATGGGCAAAGTGAGAGTGATATGATCTATACCTTGCTTTATTCGAAATGTAGTTCCATGTTGCTCTGACTCGACTCAACGATTCTGGAAAACAGTTTCATAGAAAGATGTATTGCGTAGGTTATTAAACCTACAGCTGTATACAATTCGCCTGTAAATTCGTATGATGACTAAAAACGGTGTGCAAATCAGTTTTACTTTTAGTAAAGAGGTTATTCTGTCCAACTGATACCTCCCTCTTACATCTGGATAATAACTGATGCATGTTTTTGGAATGATTCAGTTCCGCATTCACTCGGTGTGATGAGAATAGCTTATCATATAGATATACGAATCCATTTCATTTTCAAGCAGCCTAACAGCGTGCCCTTATCTGTTACTTGAGAACAACCGACTTAATGTTCTCTGTTTCTGAGTGCTGGTCGAATTCTGTCGATCATTTTGCAATGGGGTCACCAAGCTGGAAGGCTATTTATCGAAGTGCACTTTGGTGGATTGTAATATACTGGCTGCGACACTGGGTGATGGGGTTTTGAATATCAGAAGTGTACAAGTTCACTCGAGGTTGTAAACACATCTTTCTGATGAGTACCAGAAAGCATGAAATGTAGATCCAAGTCTTACTGTCGGTCTACTCTAATCAACCAGAAACATGCCTCACTTTGCATAAACTGAGATGTTCATATGTTCTTTCACATTCGAGTTGGTACAGTCATTTATTCATGAAGCAGAGACGCATGAATCCGCAAGTGGTTAGTGCGACGCTCACTTATTCTACTGGAACTCGCCCAGAGTTTCAAACATAGTCTACTTCTGAGTTTTTATCATCGACACTGACATCTCTATAACCACTGATCCAACCATGCTCTGATCTTGACCTACAGGATCACGTAGTTAACTTGGTGGAATTTTATCAACAGTAGGCGATGAGGCACACCTACTATGTGAGGGTTAATTACAGTACCCAGCTACTCAGATCTCGGTGTGATGAAACAGCTTCAAACTCATGACCTATCGGTTGGAAGTCAAGTTCCCAGATCAATGAGCCACAGCTCTACCTACCACCTATCATGCTCAACTAGCTGATAAAAAACATCTTTTTAAATAAACCAATCTGGTTTCGGCACATAATGCCAATCACTCAACCTTCCGTTTTGCATCTGTGCATTACTATGCAAGGCGTTCAGTTGGGAAATTGACTGTAAAATATGTTCATTGTTTCGTAGTTCATAAAATGCTGTATACAGCTACTATGAATCAATCATTCCGCATATTTTTACTTGACAAACTTTGAGGATAACATCTTGTGGTTAACTTCTTGTGAGATGGGTATCTGCATATGAGTTGTTGTGAGACAACTGAGAGCGACTGAAAATGTGAGGAAATCTCGAAAGAGAAGT